TAAAGTTAGAATTCCAACTTTTTTCCTTTTTTATTATTTTTTCAGTGGCTCTAATCCTCTTCCTTAGAAAACAGCCTAAGGAGAAGAGAAAACATGTCATACAAGTGATGAATAAGATAAAAAAAAAGTTTTTTGAAATACAGTTTAAAATACACAAAATATAAACATGTTTATTCAGTAATAATAAAACCAAACCTGTGGTCAATAAAAAATAAAATATCAAACTGAATATATGAAACATTTGAAGACAATGGAGGCACAGATTGAAGTTTTATATTGTTAGTATTAATTCAATTCAGTTTATTCATATAGCGCCAATTCACAGCACATGTCATCTCAACGCACTATACAATTAAACCAGATCATACAGTCAAATTTATTCAAAGTTTTCCATCTAAGGAAAACCAGTTGATTGCATCAACTCACTGACTCAAAGGCAATCCCTCACACTAAGCATCTTGGTCGGGACAGTGGAGAGGAAAAACTCCCTTTTAATAGGAAGAAACCTCCAGCAGAATTGGAATCAGTGTTAGCGGTCATCTGCCGAGGTCGCCTGAGGTTCAAGGAGACAGAAGCAGAGATACAAAAGGCAATGGAAACCAGCTCCACAGCCGGCCCTGTCCAGGAAACATACAGCCAGACAGAAGAGCTCAAAGCAAGCTCTCATGTGAAGAGAGGACATACAGTTAGTGACAGCCAGAGAAACAGGACTACACTGAAAAAAAGGCCGAGCTCCAACTTCTATAAACAAAAGTGTTGATGGTAGCAGCACAGCTGATATTTTTCTCCAGGATGGCGTCACAGCCAAACAGGAACAGACCAAATAAAGCTATTAGTGCTCCTATGTAGGCTACTGTCCTGGGAACAAAACAAACAAGTTAGTTCAAATGAAATAAATAAATAATGATTAAACCAATCTTTGAAATAAGTTGTTAAAGGTAAATGTTTTTAAGTTGTTTTCTTCTTTTTTTTTGTATTTGTGTCCAGATTAATTAATGTTTGTTAAATAAAGTATCTGTATATTTTAATAAACGTGTGGTCTGAGTTTAGTGCATATTAATGTTGTTAGCCCAGTTTCAGGGTAGGTTGTTTAGCGATGTCTTAGGTCAGACACCAACTGATAGGGTGAGGAGGCCTGCCCAGGAGCAAACTGCAATCAAAGCACAACTTTTCCAACTGCAAGACAGCCATTATTCAATCTATCCATTGAGCCACAAAGGCGCAGCCACCTCTGGATTGTTGATGTGAGAATGTACTAAACACTGTCTTCAAGCTTCCTGCAGAATCCAGCCACTAGAGGCCATTCTAACACTCCCTGTTGGCATAGAATCACCAAGCTTCACTACAACCATTATACTGCTACATCTCAAAGGGTTGATTGAGAGGCCTACAAAAAAGAAAAAGAAAAAACTATTTTCTGTTATACTAAAAAAAAATCTAAATAGATTTATTTGTAACATTTTGGTCGTAAACATGCTAAAATTGGTTTGGCATTAAACTGACATGTAGCCTACCTGTATGGAGTGTCTCTCCTTTTATATATTATTAATCTTTATGTGTGGGCATATTTTGAAGGCAAACATAAATTTGAAGGTTTCCTCTGACCTCCCATAGAATATATCCTTTACAATCCTTGCATAATGCCCTGGTTTATTGATATCATTAGTAGCAGAGACTGTGTGAATGTTCTAGAGTTCACATGCTGCTTAAAATTATATTAGATTACATGGCATGTCCTTACATGCTGTTATGGGAAGACAGGTGCAGAGTTAGCGCTGTAAAGTTCAAGGAGTTTAACGAATCAATGGATCCGTCTGCATTTCAGGACTCTATAACCTCTGACATACTTTGATGTCTTTTAAATCCAAACAAATTTTGTTTTGACAGCTTAAGGCAGATCGATAGATTGGCTTTTTTCATGTGTCCTTTCTTCTTACAGAACAGCTCTGGGTTGCCTTTATAATTGTCTTATTTTAGTTGACCAAATGGGTTTCCTGAAAGCTTGTGGTCTAAACTTTTTTAAATGCTGTTTTCATAAAATGTTGTATCTAAAAGGATCAAAAAGACTCATTATGGCCACATGTACTTTGCACTAGGCTGTATATTTGGACAGTATTGACCTGTATGCACTTGGAACTTCTTATCTTTTTGTGGGTTAGAGTCCATTGAACCACAAACCATCAGACAGGACCGTTACAGTGATTGTATGCGTGCTTGTTCGTGGTAGTTGAGGCCATAGAAATGTAAGCAGAGAGAGAGTACATAAACCCTGTCATCCTAAACTATTCTCAGTCCTGAGAGCACTCTTCCCGGCTCAGTTGTTCTCCATCACAGAGGACAACAATGTTGCGTCTTGCGACCCTTGGCCTCCTCCTTGCTCTGGCAGTGACTCTAAGCAGCTCTGCAGTGGTTCTGGAAAATGGCATGCCAACCCTTTGGTCACAAACAGCCAGCCAAGTCAATGAACTACCTATGGTGGATGGGATTGTGAATCCGAATCCTTGGAATTATCTGAACCGCCAGAGTTTGTACCGTCTGATGATTGGTGCTACAGACCCCTATATTGGCTACTTGGGAACCAACCCCAATGAGAATCCCATGTGGGGACTACCATTGCAGCTTGGATGGATGCTAACCTCAGGTAAGTTGGCAATTTGTCTTTTATTTCCTGTTTTTACTATTTAGAAAGTGTCAAATAGTTCAAAATATAATTTAAATGTTATGCTTCTGCAGGTCGCCTTAGTGACCCAACTGGTATAACAACCTGCGGATTGCAAACAGGAGACACTATGTGTATTTCACCTGAGAGCCTGTGGGGCTGTAAGTGTTTCCGATAAACATCGCAACTCAGAGCACTCACAGAAGAGATTGCTAACTCTTTAGGCCTTTTTTATTTCAGGCATGACCTACTTCTCCTCATCACTTCCATTCCTGTCTGCTGCACAACAAGGTTTCTTGGGAGAAAACATTCAGGTTATTTTGATCTTCTGTCATCTTACAAGATGCATGCATATTGATAAGGCTAACTGCAATGATTCTTATAATGTTACCAGGTCCAGATGCAGGCACCTGCTGGTGCAGAGGGTTTTTGTACTACCTATGCTGGATGTTCAACCAGTTACCCTGATGCCATGGCCAAGTGGGACGCATTTTTCCAGGTATTTAAACCTCTCTGGAACCACTTTATACATGATAAAAAATTACACTTTAGACAGATTTCTTTTTCAAATTCAATAAAGGGAATTAGTCTCAGACAGAAATTAATGGAGATATTTCCCACTTGACAATCGATTTCGTTGATTTAATTAAAAAGTCAAACTTGTATATGACAGACAGGACCGTCCATGACACATTCAAAGCTATTATTTCTGGATAATTCTGGCTAACAGCCATGAAAACCAAAGGTTATTGGCTTAGTTTACAAGAACTTATCTTTAGTATATAAATGTTAGCCTTCAGTCTAAGCTCCCATTACTTAGTCGAAGCTCCTTTGCATGAATTACTAGATCAGTGCAGTGCGGCATGGTGGAAACTTCCCTGTGGCTCAGCTGAGGATTCATGGAAGTTCAGGTTTCTGAGAACCTTCCTTCAACCCATCTGCACAGTTGGATCTGGTGTTTCTTCACCCCTAAAATATCCTATAGACTTTGTCTGAGGTGTGGGTCTAGTTTCACTGGCCAATAAAGCACAGTGACATTGTTGCCTTTAAATCAGGTTATTCAGTATTTTTGCCTATATGTCAGTAGAGTGAACAAACACCAGCTGCTGGCGTAGCAAACTAAATGAACTTTGGACAACCGATCAGATGTCCAGTCCTATGTTTTGGATGTTATTTGTTATTTAGGAGTAGCTTAACATTAGAGGTCCGATCACAGTTGATCTATTTCCTCAAAACACTTGAATTTGCTTCACAATTTTGTCATGCCTGTTTCTGTGGTGAGCAGCTTTTTCAACCCACATTCTCCTTCCACTAAGCTCTCCACAGTGCATGGATGCAGCACTGGTTGAAGACCCATCTCTGGTTAACTGACCCTGCTTTTTCAGGGGACAACTCTCAAACACTCCTTCCATATTTACACTGCTATTTTGTTTGAGTTAAAATCCACTGTAAGCAATGATCAGAAGTAAATACAGAAATACATGTATGGAATGTTTTGAGGTGTATAAATGTATTGAGTTCAATTTTAATCTTTGAGCTACTTAAATAAATCAAGCTTGATGATGATATTTTAAGTTAATGAGCCGTACTGTTCGTCATTAATGGTCAATGTGCGTCCTTTAAGGCTCTCAAGGCGACCACTGAGTCTACCCTGCCTGATGCCGAGAAGAAAGACTCCATTCTCGGTGTCTACTGGGAAGCTCAAATGGCTTCAACCTACGCCTCTGCAGCATGCGACACCAAGTAATCCATCATTCATCTTTGCAGTTAAAATTCCTTTTTTTTTTTCTCAGATCTTTCAAAAATCTTTTTAATAACTCAGATTGGAAAAAATCAAAGCTTGCTTCTTTAAAGGTGATATTGTTACATGTGATTTTATGAAGAAGTTGCACAGAAAATATCTCAGTCTAAAGTCTAAGAAATAGGCAGACCCTGTAGACAAGCATTGTTATTGCACCCTACATCTTGATATGAAATATATCACAATATACTTCGGTATAATGAAAAATTGACATTTTGGCCTCTCAAATTTAAATCTTAAGCAGTAGACTGTAGAATGCTCTGACAGTATTATGTCTCCATCTCCTGTTGTTTGCTGACATCTGTATTTAAGGTCAGATCCTATGCTGGGCATCTACAGTCTAAATTAATATTTCAGCTTTCTAAACTCATGTCTCACGTCTTTTGTTTATTCTGCAGGAAGAGCCACTATTCATCTGAGGAGCAGTCATTTGCCAACAGCTGGTTGAACTCTGCAGAGTATGTTGCAGCAGCTCATTTCCATTCCAACCTGGAAAAGTCTTTGCTCTTCCTGAATCCTCTGCCAGGCCGTATTTTACGAGTGTGTACATCTTAGCTGAAGCATTACCCATTAAAATGTCTATTTTTCCAAATGTACATAATGTTTTTTTTCTTTCTATTTTACTCCTACCTATAGAACGGGGATGTAGCTCCAAATATTCCTGATCTGAGTGCGGAGGAAAACTACTCACTGTCTGTTTTTGCCTGGATGAGAAACATCAACACCCTTCTTGGTAGGAACGCAATAATATGCTAAAACATTTTCAGTTTAGATTACTAAGCCACAAAGGTTAAAAATGATCTTATCTCCATCTAGGTGGGTCTATGGTTCGTATGTGGAAAGGAGCGATGTGTTCGCTGACCACCAGAGAGAGAGGAAAACAGTTGTTGGAGGAGCTCATAACAAATCCCAGCTTCCCCACTGCAACTTTCATGTCCTTTGTCACAGAAATGAGTACAACCTGCTGAGACAGAGAGATGACGACTTCAGTATAACCAGGGTCCCTTAAGCTCCTAAAAAAAACTTTTTAAAATTCAAATAACAAAAGGTCCTACATTTGAAGATTTAGATAGCTTCTGGTCACAGACTACGTCCTCTTCAATCGTTTTCACAATCATTGAGATGTGATCCTTGATGTATAAGGAGTACCAAAATGTATAATGAATGTCCCATTAAATAAATGTATGTATTTTAAAATATGTGGACGCTCTATTTCAGATGGTGCATGTTGTTTAAATTGATTCAAATATTACAGTAAACACACCATTAAACTCTAACTAAAAATACTTTGATTCACAATTATAATAATGACAAAAGTAGTTTTCTTACTGTATAATTTACAATTAAACAGTGAATATATTCAATATTTTTTTATTTAAATATAGACTAAAATAACTATCTATTTTTCTATTTCTTTATTTGACCATATTGATGCTGTCTCAATATGTTATAGTCTACAGAGGGTGAGCGCTAAAAAACATGGTGTCCTGGTTAATGTTTATAATAATAATTGTACTTTATTGATCTCACGCTGGAGAAATTCACTCTGGTGTGGGGTCAAACATTTTGCTCAGGAACCCAGAGTTAAGGCTGTGGGGATCAAACCGAGTACTTGCAGCCCTCTCAGAACACAAGGGCACTGCTCTTACCCACAACGCTAAAACTCCTTTTCTATTGTTATTTCAGAACAAATTCCATCTCAAGACACTTTATAACAAAAATCTAATAAATTTACAGAAATACAAAGCATTATAATAATCGTGTCTCCTGAACAGGTATATGTCAATAGATGGAGACCTGCATGCCGTTAATGACCTTTTAGCCATCCATCATATTGAGCATGCATGTAGAAACAGTGGGGAGAAAATTTGCCTTAAACATACAGTAGTACTAGGCTCAATGTGAGTACCATCAGCCACAAGCAGAAAAAAAACACAAAAAAAAACAAAAGACAAAGGTAAAGTACTGCTTTCCCTGTTAAATTAAACTTCAAATTGTTTTTTGTATCCAGGGAGATACAGACATTTGACAGACTGTGCCCAAAAGGCAGATCAACCACCTGCACTTTACATCAATGGACACATTAAAGTAGGGGGAGGGGAGAGTTCATCAGTCATGTGAACTCATACCAGCATTAAACCCACAAACCTGCTTAATAAGGCAGACATTTGAGGTTAGATTTGTTGTTTTTGATGTTCATTATCAAGATGATTATCTTTAAGAGTGATCAAATACAGTAACCATTTCAGTAACCATTTCCTCAGTGGCTTTTTCAAAGAGAGAGACAAAGTAAAACAGAATCAGAGTTAAGTGTGTCAACAGAACCAGGGGAAGATTAAGGTAGTTACTAAGCTTCATGTATTTAAAACCTTTGCAATGAAAATAATTTATAAATGTCCATTAAAACTAATGCAGACAGCACTGAACCAATACATTTGTTGATGACATTTCTGCAGCTTTAAGTGTACCTTTGACATAAAACTATGGGAACTACATTTAACCCAATTTAACTACATTCCTAGTTCCAAAAAGATTCAGGGGGACTTGATTAATATGGCTGAAAGGCAAACAAAAATGCAAAACCCCTAGTAATCTTGTGTGTTTTCTACATTTCGTAATCTCAAATGCTATACAAATGATAAGAGGTAGTCAGTGAAGCATAGATTAACTTTTTTTTACTGCACTTGTTTTACATGCAAGGCAGCAATGCTGGATTTAAAGGAAGATTAAGCAGAAATCCCCATGTTCAAAACTAAGATGTAGTTTCAAGAAGTGGGGTTTACCAATGTGGTACCTGTGATAAAAGGTTTGAGAACCACTGATTATTATGCAGAGTTTTAGCAGGTCATTACTGCCCTCTAGTGGTTGTGCATTAAAATATCACTACGAGGAACAGCAAGGCAACCTGGCCAACCAGACTGATTAATGCCATTTAGGTCAACATTTTAGCCAAAGTTTTCATGCTGAATTATTTAACTTTAAAAGATGGTTTAGATATTAGCAGCACTAAAATTTTTTATTAAGCTTAAAAAAGTCAAATATTGTGAAACCACAGATGAAAATCATTTATGGACAGCCAGACTACTAGGATTAAAGATATCATAACATCAAACAAGAATTATAGAGAAGTCTTTATTAAGAGACAAACTGAACAGTTAAGTTTAACAAAATAATGCACAAATTCTGACTCCATGTACAGATACAATTATAGCAGAAAAACTCCCCTTTGTGTTTTTTAAGAAAAAGAACAAACATCTAGTGTAATAAAAAACATTTTTTTGTGTGTTATAAACATAAACATACTGTTTCTTTGCTACATTTTGATTGTCATTATAAAACGGTATCAAAAACAAACTCACAATGACACAAATACACATATTTGTTCTCGTTTTTTTCTCTGTTTTGTTGCTTATTGGTCAGACTTCATTTTGGAAAAACCTTTAAATATTATCATAATTATTCTTTTTACATAAACCGAAAGAAGTTCTTGTCCTTTTAAACAAACATAACTCCATCTCACAGATTTTTCAGCATGAGCACTGCAGTAAATGTTTTTTTGATAGCCTGAGGTTGAGGTTTACATTTACATGTTTTGCGATTTACAGCAGTGGCTACAGATGTGTGATAAACAGCCTCATATAGGAAGGCAGATTTATTGATCATTAGTTATAGATACAATATGAAGAAAGGATTTTCTAAAGGTGTAGAATGTTACCTGATTGTTTTCAGACTGAACAAACCTGTGACTGAGCACAGCTCACCAACTTAATATATTGAACACGTTTTGCAAGGTAATAACGTCTTGGATTTTTGTTTTGATCATCTTAAAATTACAAAACAGCAGTTTAATAATGAATAATTTCAGATTGCTGCTACCTTTACACAGACTCTCTGCAGCCGACATGTTAAAATCTTAGTAATAAATCCATCTTTTGTTGCAGTTATCTTAGCTAAGATAATGATGTTTAAAAAAATGACTAAATCAATACAGAAATGACCATAAGAAAGAGAATCAGCCAGTTTTTGTTGCTGTCTCCGTCTAAACACCTACATCATGCATAAAAACTTTTTTTTTTTAAATTAATCTCTGCCTAACTTTTTTTTCTTCAGGATTATAGGTTGAAGTTGCTCTATTCCTATGCTTGTTTTCCTGAGCTTAAAATGGGTAAAATATTAACTTTATACTAAATTGCTAATGAAATGCAAGTTCATCCTGGAGTTTAACAGAATGATTAAACATTTTAAAAGACACAGAAGGGAAAGATTTAAGGGTTTATACTTTTTTAAAACATAACCAGAGTAAAGCTTTGCTTTAGTGATGATACAACAGATGTTTTTGTTTTTTGGCAGTTTTGTTTGCATTCCTTTAGAGTTTAGACAAGATCTAAGCCGTGCTTTTTTTAACAAGATGACACAGCTATAGTGTAAATAGTGTTTTGTTAAGATAGGAACAATAACAGTTTGGAGAACTATGATTTATACTGAATGAAGTCACTGACAGCAAGACTGACCTATTATCAACGACAGATTCATAATTACAAGTAAAGGTAAATTCATCTGTTTGAAGTCACCAGTGAGCACCACAAACACCACTAACTCTACTTGTACAGAAAACAGGCATGGATTTAAAAAATGAACTACAGATGAGGGTTTTTTTAATCCCTTCTTTCCTCTGGCTTTTGATGTAAATTCATGGCTTGACAAAACCCTTGTGAAACATGGGGGAAACTGGTGCAGAATCTTTCCAGATATAAAACAGAAATGTCACTGCAGAGTCTAAACACAGCAGTGGAGCTGGCGAGCTGGAGGGACACTTTAAACAAACATCAGTCAAAGTGATCCGGGTTTTTCTCAGCTGGAAACCTCAGAGCAGAAAGAAAAGAAGGTGGTAGGGCTTTAGCAAACACCTTCTAAACATCCTAAATAGGTTTGTTTTCAAATTAGCATCTAAATTCAACAGACAGGTACTAAAATGGGTTAACAATCCTGCATTGGCTCCTTGACTTCCACTTGGTGAGGTAGAGATGTATTTAAACGGCAGACTTGCTTTTCGTTGACCTGTGGTTGAGGTTGCACTCTGATGACATATGCATCTGTGGAGTATTGCTTTGCTAAATGGGAGGAAAAAGGTTTCGTCTCCTTAAACAGGAAGCTGCCCTGTGCCTGCTAATGTGCTGGAATGTGTGCATGTGGGGTTGTTTCATGAGCTGTCTGAAGTCCCTGCATTTTTAAAGCCTGTTTAGAAAGGGTTTCTCCACTCATGTGCATACGGTACATTGAACTGCTAATATGTAATAACAAACACTTTTTGTGTACAGGGCCTTGCAAAAAATATTCAGCCTTTAACTCCCCCAATTTTTTGTATTAGGATTATATGAGTTTTCATTCATATCTTTACATAAAATCCTGTGCAGCTAAAGGTGAGTATTAATACAGTTGGGAAAACTTTATAAGTTAGGAGAAGAGCGGTTTTCTACTCTTTAAATCCTGATAAAAGAGAAAGGATACAAGAAATACAACAATTGTTGAGAAGATTAAAGCTGAAAAAAGTTATTCAAACATCTCATTGAGCACTGTTCAGTCCATCATCTTAAAGGTATAGAGGAGGAAGTTCTTTTTCTGGGTGGATAATCAAAATAAGTGGTCCTCCTAATTGTCAATGACTCTGGTGATACGTTTACATAAGGCCGTCCTAACTGCTCATCCCCATTTTCACTCACCGGTGGTGAGTCTAACATAGCAGAAAATTTGCAAATCTTCTTTTGGAAAGTAAGCTTGTATGAGCGATGCAAACAGCAACTTTTAAACAGAGCATTCACGAGGAGAAATGGGCTTGTGCAAGCTCTCGCATGCATATAATAGACGTTCCCTCTCCTGAGCAGGTACAGGGTTGTACTGTACATGTGCAATTGTTTAAAAATTGGAGAGGGGGGGTCCTTTCAAAAGTTTGCAAAAATCTTCCTTTATACCTTTAAGATGGGACATATATTTTGCGAGGGCCATCCTACTAAACAGAGAGCATTAACCTAAGAAGCAGTGAAGAAGGCGGTGACTCTGGAGGAGCTTCAGGGATCAGGAAGGACAATCTACTGTATTAAAACAACACCTATTGGTATCCATCAAGAAATCTGCCCTTAAAGACGAAAGGCAGGTATAATGACACTGTAGATAGAAAGCAACAAAAAAAGCTGCTTAATTTTGACAAAAGCCATGAAGCTGACGCTGAAAACATGTCAAACAACGAGCTCTAAGTCAGAGGGAAACCAAAACAAAAGCTTCTGGAACATATATACATTACATGTGTCAAAATACTGACAGTGCGCATCGCCCCATAAACACCATCACCATGATGAAACGAGGTGGGGTGGAACAATGCTTTTCTTCAGCATGGCCAGGGAAGCTGAGAGTTAATTGGAAGATGGACAGCACAAAATAAACAACTGAATAAAAACCAGCTAGAGGCTGCATAAGACTAACCAAAAAGTAAAAAGTATTTACCCAAACTTTTGAGTATGGGCATTGAATACATATGCACTGCACACCTTTTGAGGGTTTTGCAACGATTTCTGCTAAAAAAAAAAAGCTTGAAGTGACATTTAATCTATAAAAAATATTATTTGTCTGTAATTTTAAAATGAGCATAAAGGTTTAAGGGGGATCAGCCATCTTTTCCATGACACTGTGTATTGTAAGAATAAGTCGCTGGTTCCAATTATGCTTCTATGTGGGCTGAGGCCTTGTCTTTTAACAGGTCCAGACACAGGTGACAGCTCCAGCTCCCTGTAAGACACAATAACAAATCATTTCCTTTTCTCCTTTCCATGTAAAGCCTGAAGCGTCTCTCATGCATAAAGCATGACTTACAGTTTGTACATCCTCCCGTTAAAGAAAATTAAAAATGCACGTTAGTAATTCCAATAACGGAAAACAAAAAACAAGAAAAAAATCTATAAAAAATTACTAAATTATAATTTAGTAAAATAAAATACATCTATTTAGAATTTTTATTTTAAGAAAGATACAAAAAAAAAAACTGTGAACAGTGAACCAAGTAACCTGTTAACTGCCATTTAAACATTTAAGCACAGCTGTATATAGTTTGAGTCCTCTAATGTCTTCAGTTAAAAACCTTAAAAAGCAGCTCTCACCTTCAGGAGGCTGAGTCATGGGAGGTTTCAAGCAGTACATGTGATATCCTCGATCACAGTCATCACAGAACAGCAACTGGTCCTATATGAAACACACACACTCAATATCATTAAAGGAAAGGCGTTTTTGGTCAGAGGTTCGACAGCAAAAGCTTTTGCTTGATGATACGCACGTCATTCTCAGAGGTACCACACAGGCTGCAGGACTTGCACTCGATGCACTGCCACTGATACGTCCTCACCGCCTGCATCATGTTTTCTGTGAACTGCAAACATGTGGGGTGGCCTTCGAAGGGGCAGCATGGTAAGAAGAAGGAACAAACACAAAGAAGCTTGGATTGACATTTTTTAATAAGAAGTTTCTTTCTGAAATGTATAGTGGAGGATGTTGTTTTTCTGGGTGGATCATCTAAATAAGTGGTCCTCCTAATTGTCAATCATTCTGGTGATATGTTCCCAGTTAGCTATCTTTTTCTGCTCATCTACACTTTCAGCTGAATATCTGTGGTGAGATACGGTTTCAGACAGTCATTAAAGCTTTACTTACTCACCGCAGTGCTTTGACAAGGGCCGAGGGTCGCAACAGAAAAAGTGTGTACGAAGTGTATGAGAAGAAAAGAAAGGCCTCAGAAGAGGCAGATATATATCCCATAATGCTTTGCGCGGAGAGCTCCCCACGCAAAGCATTATGTTATTTGCTGTCACAGCCAATTTTGCCATAGGCTGTCGCTACCCGACAATATTGACTAATAACAAAGATGGCAAGGGACGGATGAGGAGGAGTTATGTGACCAACGGGGAGCAAAAAGGAGTGACCATCTCTCCACTATAAATAGTTCAATATAAAGTCCACTATATAGACCCTGCTCAATATAGTGATTGAGGGGTTAGAGCAGCGGTTCGGGCACAGTAACAGAGCGTGCACGAGGCAATGGGTACGTGCATGCTCTCGCACACTCTTTACACGCCTTTTGTCTCGGGAGCGGGTACTGGTTTGTCCGTCTGCCTTTTTTTTAAAGTGGAGGGGGCGGGTCTTTTCAAAAATTCACGAAAATCCTCCACTATACCTTTAAGTAACACAAATACTCTAGTTTATTGATTGATTTACAATTGATCTCTTTTGACCTGTGTAAACATGCTATTGCACTTATCAAATTAATTTATAGAATATCTTATTTAATACAAAGAATAAATCCTTAAAACCATCATCTGTACCCATTTATCAAGATCCAATACATCACAGAATACAGTGCCTTAAAAAGGTATGAAATAAAAGTACTTCTGTTTCTGTTAATTGAGATATGTGACAGACCAAAAAAAGGTTGAATACTTACACTACAGATAACCCAGGAAAATAAGCCCTACTGTAAAACATGTTAGAGGCAGCATTGTGAAAATAACAATAACTGGAAATCTAAATTATGGCATCTAGCAGAAAATTCCTTAAGAAATATACCCTACCATCAGCGTTCATGTCTAAATAACTTAACATAAGTAAGTGAGAGGTTTAGAGCAGCCTAATCAAAGTTATGACTTAAATGTGAGTGAGATGCTGTGCGTTGACCATCATCAGGCTGTATTTACAAAAATACAGCAAACTTTAAACAAGACAAGTGAGCCGAAATGAATCTACATCAATGTAAATCCCTGTGTACCTCCGCCTTAATAAAAAGAATAATTGGAAAACACCATTTTGTATTTTCTTTGGTTATCTTTCTCTGATACTACACTTTCTATGACAAACAGCAACATTTTTTGGAGACAAAAAAGAAAAAACTAAATAAATTTCTGAGGAGGAAACTGAATTAGGAAAACACTACTTTATAGTTTTTTTAATTGTTCTCCCAGTTGGGGGCTTGCTTTTTAAAAAAAAAAAAAGATAAATCTGTTGCGTTGTTCCCTGGAGCAAAATAATCGTAGCTGCAGACTCACCAGAACGCCCACAGTCGGAGCAGGACACCAACTCCTCTGCCTGACCTGTCTTCCTGTTAGCGTCCTGGTCTCCCAAGCAAAAGTCACAGTAGTCGTTGGGAATGATGGTGCCATCAGAGCCCTTTTGAGCTGTCGGTAGGAACAGGAAAACATCAGAAGAGCAATATATTGATAAAGATGCTCCATCCTTGCTTCCATAAAACGCATGTCTAATTTAAGCTTCTGGAGAATGTAGAAGCCTTGGAATGACCTCCGTAGTATGCAACTTACGTTTGTGATTATCTGGGTTGCGAGGGGAAGGCGGGGCCATCTCTGCATCCTTCTCTTCTTCGCCTTCCTCATCGGCCAGGTGAGTGTGGGTGTAGTGGTAGCTCAGACCCGGCCGGTTCTTGTAGCGCTTCCCACAGACTGGAAATGAAACATGAAATCTCCATTAGCAATTTCCCATCAGAAGCTGGGCAAGCCTTTCTCAGCTGAATTAATGTAAAAAATAACATTGCAGCACAAAACAGTAAACGTGAAACTTTATCATTAAAAGTTATCTTTAGACATTGAGGTAGATTTATCCTAATGAATTAGGAGTTTTTTTTTAGCTGAAAATAATTTAGATAATGTTTTGTCACCACATACTTATTATTTTTTTTTACTTTATCATCCATCAGGTCCTTTAGATGAGTTTTCAGAGAGTTTTAGTGTTAAATACTGATAAGGTCATCATAGTCAGGGATTTTAACATTCATGCTGACATTGAAGATGATAGCTTAAATGCAGCCTTTAATGCTATCTTAGACTTAAAAAACATGGAATTCATAAATGACGTATTCAAAATATATAAATATGTCAATTCTTTGGCTTTTCGATTAAAAAAAATAATGCCATCACTTTTTAAAGGCATCCTTACACTTATGCATGTATTTCAGAGATAGGGTTGCAAAGTACCTTGTTTTGTCATGGATTAAAATGAACCTCTTATCTTCCCAGACATATATCTCCATGACTGTTACTGATTCTTTTTTTTTTTTTTAAAGAAGGATTAATTTACTTTACTGCTTTATTTGGACCTTAGCTCTCCCATAAAACAGCTCGAATTATGGCCTAAGTCTTTCTTTGCCAGTAGGCAAAGTCAGGTGGTAGAGGTCCTGCTCAGTCTTTGTTACATTTCGTTTTATTCCTGTTTGTATATTGGTTTCCTTGTTCAAATAAAACTAATGTGATAAATTTGAAATTTCTACTTTGAATGAGCTTTTTGTGCTTACTTTTGACCTGTTGAAAGTTGCGTATCATAATACATCTATCTACATAGATAGATGTGGTGAACTAGATGTGGTGAACTCTAGCAAATGTTTAAGATAGTAGTATGAAGCATTTTCATAACAAAAAATATGAAATCTCGCTCTCTTAAAGTCCTAAATTAGTACAATGATCCTGAAGATAATTCATGCAGCTCTTTGGTGTGGAGTTTATGGTCAACTCAGTGATAAGAAGCCAGGCAGATCCTGTAGCTCTGACAAACCATGAACCATCAGAGCTACAACATCCTGCTTCACAGACGCAATCTGGCAATTGTGTTGCAGCCAGTTCTGTTTAAACATTAGTTTGGCCGAAAAAATAAATAAATATTGGTGTTAAACCACAGATTACCTTTCATTACATCCATACAGCAGTGAATAACTGCATCAGGTGGTAACAGTTCCTCAACAGATATCAGCTGCTTCCCAGAATCCCCCAAAGCATGCATCTGTCAGTGAACTCATACCAGAACTTGCAACAGAAACAGAAGCTCATAGCAAAGCATAGTGTTGTAGTCAGTGCCACACCAACAAAGACCAAGGAGTACCAAGACCATATAAGGCCTATAAAGGTCTTGGACTTGTTTTAGTATTCGTTGGTGTCGGTTGGTGTGGTCTCGATTGCAACACTGGCAAAGAGTTAGTTTCATGCAGCGTTGGCACTGAATCCACCAGGGAAAGCCCAAGCATACAGCCTCAAAAGCTTCCTCTCAGTCGTTCTTGCTCAGTTAGCAAAAGAGCTGACCAATGAATTAGCTCATTGAGCTGTGAGTAAGAAAAGTTCAAATTCAGATACCTTCTTCAGTCTTTTTTGAGTTATGCTTTTGTTTGTACCTATCTGGAACAGAGAAGACACAGAAGCAAACCATGATGGAAAGACAGAATGAGACATAAAATGGAAATGAGACCGATTTGCATGAGGTTCAGTCTGCAAACAACCCAACTCTGGAGACATTTCTTCCAGGTACAAAAGTGGCATGCTGGTCAATTCTGCATAAACATCAGGGTCCCTTTACATGCTTCTTTTAGGAACAGACAGAGGGATACAATTAAGAGAATTGAGAAAGCTACATCTGTTTTTCATCAACATGATTTTTTTTACCTAACTAACTGAACATTTTAGTTCACTGCAATGGAATAAGCAGAGTAATAACAGCAGGAGGATGGGGTAAATGATAAATCAGTAGACATGCTTTGTGTCTCCTTACTGTCACAGATGTAAGGCTTGTCCTGGTCTTCAGCATTGGCAGATTCCGTCCTTCTGCGTGTTGATCCTCGGCTCTGCAGTAAAACACCAAACACTGATCACACGTGACACTATGAGGATTACTGCTTTAATTATAAATTAAATCAGTATAGTTCATGCTATTACTTAAATTTCTATAACTAAGTATTAGGTTCCCTTGAGTGAATCAATTTACAAAAAGTTTTTCTAAGCATTTATTTAAAAAGAAGAAAATGAAATTGGCAGTACATATACATAATGTTTTGCATCTTAACCACACATATTTGTGGCAGGATATTCAACCTCTCTCTTTTTTAGAAATGCCAAAATTCATTCATATCGGTTGATTTCCTGACATAAGTGTGGCTTCTGAGATCAGCCAATTCCAAAAACTTAATGTTAGCTCCCTTTATGTAGTCCAAAATCAGCCTTTATGTGTCTTGGAAAATAAAACTGCTTAAATCTCTTAAGAACAACCTGTGAACCATGAAGAATTTAAGTATATTACAAACTAGAAGAAGCTGAAGCACCGGTTTCTCAGTAGATAGTGGCACAAAATTAAAAACATGTATTGAGAAGGTGCAGACTACAACAGAAGCAGAATAAAATGTAGGGATATGTGAACATCACGAGTCAAAGCTTTAAAAAAAACAACATAGTGACTGTCAAGCATGGCGGTGGCAGCAACATGGTGAGGGTATTTGTAGTTTTCAGTGGTGCTGGGGAAATTCTGCATCTAATCATCTTAATAACTGAAGACAGTTGGATTTTTCAAAAGAGTAATGACTGTAAAATGTATAACTGGTTTTGGGATGGGTAAAGCAGACATGGTTGTGGTACTAAAACAAGTCTGACCTACCCCCATTAGAAAATACATGGACTCTGGCTACTAGCAGTTTTGTGCCGATGCCCTTTTTTGGCCCTATACCGATACCCAATACGTTGCTGTGCAGTATTGGCCAATACCATCTGTTTGAGTGTGTGTGTTTATATATGAAGAACTGCATACTACTTGGACGTAAATTAATCGCCATCAAGGCTTTGTCAAGCTGCTGCCTACCTTTGTGAAGCAGGATAAAGACTAATACAAAGTGAATCCAGTAGAACTTGTTATTGCCTACCTGGAATGCGTGACAATAGTTGAATAAACTTTTGGCTCTCAAAATGGTATTGGTGCTCTATTTGTTGGTACTCACTGATATCACCATTTTAGTGCATTATTGGGTATCTGGTATCGTGGCCCAGCCCGATACTGGCATCGGTATCGGTGCAACACTAGTTACTAGATTAGTTTTCTGCAGAGAAAACCAGCCAGTTTAAATCAACTCCACCAACTCTAGTAATCTGAGTGTTCAGATGTCCAGCCCAAAAAAAGTCAAGTACCTCATTTGTGATTTTATAAAAGCTTGTGGTTTCTTTTCTCTGAACTAATGGATATTTAACCAACTATTAAGTCATTTTTTTTCCTGTCACCCACTTTGCCTCTATTCCTGTTCTTTTTCTTCGGCGCATCAACTTCCAGCTCCTCATCTTCATGCAAGCTATCTCCATTTTCCTCTGCCTCCAGGACTCTCTAGATAAAGAAAACACACATGGATAGGGTCTGAGGCAAGGTCTTTTTTTTTTTTTTATATGTAGCACATTTCAGTAGTAAGACAATTCAAACTGCTTAGTAAACTACTATCCAATAAGCATCTATTAACTGCAAGAACAACAAAGGTTAGAATGAAATCCATCCAGCTACTTTGGAATGCTAGGTTTTACCAAAACATACCTGTATTTCCAGCAGCGTCTCTTCATCTTTACTGAGGCTGTTTTTTTTCTCCAAAAGGTTGTCCCCCCTCAGGAGGGCCTCCAAGGCGGTGGCCTCCCCCGGCGGCCCCTCACGTTTGGGGGCAAGATCTGCTTCTGTAGAGGAACATGAAAAAATCTGGCTTCAGTATGAAGTTTCCGAATGTAAATATGTAACGTGTAACAAAACCATGTTTTGTAGCAGTTTGTTTTTCATGATCGTTAAACCCCTGAATGCCATCGCAATCTTGAAAAATATTGTCCCTTCTTGTTGCACTTTAAAACAACAGCCATCATAAGTTTTATCCCACCTTATTCATTGCCTTTATCGTTTTCATTGGAAGTAAATCTTTGAACGACTCACCTTACTTCTTTTTAAAAATTTGGAAGCAGAGCGAAACTATGATGAAAGCAGGGATGTATGTTTAAAGTTTCAAAGTCAGCCCTTGTGTTCAGAACTAAACATCCCCCAACCCCCCAAAGCTTTAGTCTTTTTGTATCAGATGACATTACTTTAAAGACATTTTCTTCGTCTTGTAAGCGCTGCCTCACTCCCTCCTCGGAACAAACATATCACACTTTTATTTTCTTTTTCCCTGTGGGAAATTACATCAAATACCTCCAGTTCACAGCTGTGTTTTTTGTATTAACCTTTGTATTAACCTTTTGGTTATAGTGTCAGCAGGGAAAGTCATGCAAAAAGCATTTTAAGGCAGAATGCATCAACGTATGGGTATCTTTTCTAATATTGCTCATCATATCATTGTTGTGTTTATGCCACTGGAACTGGAAGGATCACAAAGAGTGACATATCTGTCTATACCTTGTGTTTTGGTTTTTCCCAAATGCATGGAATTAGAAATGAAGTGATGACCATATGTTTTCCTTTTTCCACAAATCATTCAATGTAACCCTAACTAAATTGTTTAATACTTAAACTCTGATTAATAATTCAATCAAGACCTTTCATTTAAATTACTCACTTCATCTGTTTTATTTGACACGTTTTAAGTAATATGATGGTAAATCATTGAGTAAGACATTGTTTTCCAGTATACCGGTAAATAAAGATATCTTCACAGTTCCAACTTTACAAGGAATCCATTGTTCGTAAATATATCCTGATGTGCTGTCTTCACACTGAGACAGCTGTTGCTGCTAATATTCCATTCAAATGTGTGTTTTACTTAAAGTGAGCAAGCAGATGTTTACTCTTCCTTTTTTTTCACCCTCTCCTCTATTGCTTTTCTTATTGTATAAAGCCTATTTTAAATTTCTGTGGGAAGGACAGGATTTTTAACTCCCTCCTGCAGCCCCGGCTGTCACGTCACTCTATATATACATCAGCTGAATCTGCCCAGCGCAGGTATGGGCTAAAACATGCTGCAGGGCATCAGGGAGCTGCTCTAGTCTACAGCAAACAGGTAAATATGAAAACTATAATAAAAGCAGTGACATTAAAAAATCTAATTTTGTTTCCAACCAAGGTTTCCATCATTATACAGACTTAACAGCCAGTTTGGGCTGTTAGTTATGTTAATAAAGGTGTAATTAATGTTTGCTAAGCTTTTTCTAATTAACTAAATATTTTGGAGATATTTTTTTTGAAAGATTAGTGAAGTTGGTCATAGGCTCAGATTAATGAAGCAATATTTATCCAAAAAAAAAAAAAAAAAACACTAACCTATTAACTTTTTACCATCTTTCAGGTCAGGATGATCTGTTTTTGCAGATCAGGATCTCATTCATTCCTCTAAATATAGAACTGCCTGCCTAATACCTGTCTATCAGCCAAACCCTGATATTTGGTCTTCAACAAGAAATTGATCCTTAACACAAAAGGAAAACTAGAAACACAATAGTGTAAAAAAAGAGCAGTCAATACCTAAACTGACAGAAATATCTAGGACCTTAAGAAATGTGCGGAAACAAATGTCTGGAAACCTTAAATTCCTCCTCAATTATCCGAGGGAGAAAATAACTACTTCAAGCTACTGCTGCTAAAAATAGTTCTAAACTATATAAAATGTTGGACAGTCCTTTGTTTCCTCTTGACTGTTGGCATTAAATAGAAAATATATATCTCCTCACACTGTTTCAATTCAACATTGAAGGAGTTACCCACAAACCATGAGCTATGTGTCATTCTTTTTCTTATTTGCACAGGATGTTGTGTGTTTGATTTTATTTTAAACTTACTTTCCTTATGTTTGATTCATTAAACTTTAGCACAAATGTATGTTTTCTTTCTTAATCTCGCTCTGCCTCAGAGGGGATTCTGAGTCTGTATCCGTTTTATCTGAAATCTCTTTTCATAAAGAGATGGTGATCTTACAAACAAACAAAAAACACTTCATATTTATTTTGTTAGTTTGCTGTCAACCATTTGTAAAATGTTGTTTAGGGCAATTTTTTCCATTATTATCAAATCAAATGATTCAACTTTTCTGGAATCTGTTGCTGCTATCAGTGGGGGGATCTTAAACTAACTGAGCAGTCGGCAACCTTTTAGTGTCCTGAATGAAATGCTTTGCATGGGTGTGTAGCCTACATCAGAGCCTTTCTTCCATTTAGGTCTCCTTCCAAACTGTATTTAAAGTTGCATTTGCTCTAAGGTCAGTTATGAATGTCGCATGCTTCCTATGTGCGGCAGATGCAAATGTTTTGGTATAAGGAAGGCTGTAGTCTTTATAAATGACGCCCGGAGGGCTAAAGGCTGTCCGGAATCAGCACAGGAGTCCCATCCTACCCAGGATAGTAGGATTACTGTTCACTTCATGAACAGGAGCTGATTTCATCTGTCATTTTAAAGTAAATGTTTTGATCTGCATCGTATGTCACAGCATTTTGGGATGCAGTATTACAACAAAATGCAGTCTAGCTCATTTTCTTTAGTCGTATGCTTCAGAAAGAAAATTGGTTCCAGACTTCTTCACAAAAGTTCTGCTCTGGTGTCCAAAACACAAAGCAAATGAGGTACAAGAATGGAAACTGATATTATTTCAAAGCTGATCCTCTGTGTACCTATTCGAACACACAAGCCTTTGTTCAGGAGACATTAAAAAAAAAGCATTTGAGAAAGCCCTGCAGGAAAGAATTCAAATTCTTCTGCTGTCTTATCATATATAGTCTAAACAATCCCTTCACCTTTTTGGTATTACAGATGGGTTGGTCGCTCAGTTGCAGCTCTGGGGAGTTTTTTTTTTTTACCATGTTTTTACACAAAGAAGGACTCAATTTCCTCTGCATAAAGAAAACTCATTCTTTGCAGAACGCTTTGGAGTATTACATTGCATCTGGAAGACACAGAAGGGGGAACAATAGTGGTAGAGAGAAGAAACAAAGAATCCCCTCTATTCCTCCTCTTATCGGGTTCCTTGGTATTCCACTTTCAAATCCCCCATAAGACAAAATGCATGGTGCAGGCAGGGATGAGAGCTAACAAAATGAAACACATACTGCCTTCTCAAAAGGCTAAGCTGTATTTTAATGCCTCATGGACAAATGATTATAGAGGCCCAGTTAGGGTGCTCCTGAGCTGCAGTGGGGGAGCAGAAGTCATATGTACATATATATATATATATATATATATATATATGTGTGTGTGTGTGTGTGTGTGTCCGTGTGTCGGGGCGTGCGTGTGAGAACATCCACAGAACAGTGAGAGGGGGCATTGATTCGAAGGAGTGAATGAACCTGAAGACCTGGTGAGAGAGAGGCTAACCAAAGCCAGATGGCCTGATAGCAAGAATTAATAAAACAAGCAGAGTATGTATACACACAAGCCTTAAGAGAAGGTTGCAAGCAAAAATTAGAGATACACAAATAAAATATCTGGTGTAACCATCCTTTGCAGCTTTCAGGGTTTTTCATTTTGTGTCTAATTCTGCATGGCTGTGTTGTTTGCTTTACCTAACCGAAGCTCACACAGGCGAAGCTGGGGATCCAGGGGGGGGTGGAGTTGCCTCTTTTTCCTCCAGCACCGAGCAGGGTATGTATACATCTGCCCCGCCGCTTGGCCTGGACCGACACGCACACAAATGATATTAACGATCATTTACATGTTAGTGATGGCAACCTTAAAGGGTATAATAATTTTCACAATCAATAATAACGTCTTAGTAATTTGTGATTTAAGATAGATAGATACAAATCAGATAGATATCAGAAACAATGTTTTTTGAGATTGAGAATCTTAATGTTTAGATTGTAGGATGTCATAGAAAACATATTTAGCTTTAATGAATTTTATTCCTTGTATGCATATAATCCTCATTTCCTATTGGTTTAATTATATCCACATGAGCACAGACAGAAAAAAAGTCAAGAGAAGGAGGGGAGGCATCAACCTAGAATAAATTCATATAATGCGAGTTAGGTCTGCCACAAAGTATAGGGTGTGGCCTCAAGGGCTTTGCATACAAGATGGAGAGTGGGCTATTTATGTCCAGATCTCAGTAAGAAGCAGATTGTTCTCTTCGCTTTTGCAGAGAAACCGCGCGTTCATGGTGAATTCTGAATGCCTGGTGCAGGATTAATCAGTGACAGACATTCATGAGATGCACATACTTAATGTTAAGTTTGTCTTACGTATGTATAAATTAAACAACTCAGGCATTGAGCTGATATGTCTCCATGGATTATTCTAAGATTAGATGCAGAATAAAAGAACTGGCATGAATCTACAAAATAGTTTGATATTTCTATCTTTATGGTAGTCTTTCTTGAGTTAACGTTCATTTATTTGGCAAGCTGATGCAAAGAAAATCTGCATAGAACTGTTTTTCAAGTAATATAAATCAATTAGAGGAACATGGGAATATTTACTGTCGTTTTGACAGATTGAAGAAATGGAAATAGAAAAATAATCTTAAAGCAAATATTAAATTAGGGCTGCAACTACAGATTATTTTGCAAATTGATTAATCCACCTGTGAAGTTCTGGATAGAGCATATTGGCAGATGGAAACATTTTTTTATTCTTGAATGCAAATTGTTTTCAGAATTTTTTACAATCTTACTGCACTTAGTGGGTCGCTCTATCAGCTAAATGCATGTTTTACAGTCTCTATACTCAAGTTAATGATTAATCAATTACTAAATTAGTTGATGAACATTTCAATAATTAATTAATTCTGATAAATCTGATTGTTTCAGCCCTATATTAAATTTAAGATCAACTTAAGTTCAAATTGTGGCATTAAAAGTTGGAGGTCCCAGAATCAGCTTTAGTTCAAAATTCAAAAAGGCGGCTTCAAATAAGAACTTTTGTCAATGTGAATGGAATCAACTGTTCATTTATACCTTCCGACGTTTGATATCACATTAATGGGAGCAACCATTCTCTATTTCTGACCACGTTTCTTAGCTGTTTGAATGAATAGAAGGAAAACCTTTACTTTGATTAGCCATTTTATTGGATAAAATATAAAATAAAAGAGGATATTAAATATTCCTTCCTAGCATGGTTATTGGTGCCAGACTGTTCTGATTATTTCAGCACCTGCTAAATAATAATACTGCAGCTAGTAACTTATTTGTAACCATCTCTGCTGAGGAAAGCAAAATGAAACACTCTTTGCTGACATTTGCACAGTTCCTTTTAAGGTTGGCTAATATCTGCTGCACTATTGGCTCAGCAGACGGCTCCCTTTTTCTGTGCAAAGACTCTGTAGTAACACATTTTAAGTCAAATCAGATACACATTAGAGTATGCATTTTTTTTTTTTTAGATGGGTTGCAAAATATAACCAGTCACAGATCTCTAAGAAGAACAGATTTTTTATTTTTTTATTTTTCAGGACTTGGCAGATTTTTTAGCCCTTAAGATGTTGTTACCTGGTCGGCGGTGATGCTTTTCCATCCAGATGTAGCAGTTGTTCTGAGCCACACCAGTTTGAGAGTCCAAGAAGGGCATCCGCACGCTGCGCTCAGCACAGAGGCGGGCATTGTAGCTGCGACAGTGTTCAATGGCCTCTTTATAAAACTGGTCACCAAGCCTGAATCCAGCAAATCATAAAAAACAAGAACACAGATAGCTTTGGTTGTAAACAGCTCCAGAGATGGCCAAGAAAACGGCAATATGCATCAGGCTAAATTTAATTTCGCTCAACAGCGACTGCTTCGTTTATTCAACATCTGTAACACATCAAGAAGACATTTATTTGTGGAAAAGGACCTACCCACAGTTTTATAGTCTTATTTATGCTATCAATCACAGCAATATGAAGCATGTTTGCTTGATTACAGCTTTTCCTTTGTGATAATGTTTTGTTGCTCTTCCAATGTATTGTTAGAACAATTACATGCAATTCTGCAAGGCTGATGATTTCATATCACCTATCACATATCATCAACTCTAACTGAAAATATTTACAAAAACAGTGTATTTCTAAATGTTTCTCTAGGGACTGAATCAAAGAAGCCAGGATTAACGGTATCCAGCAACAACGTGAAAAAACATTGAAAAAAAGCTTTTTCTCAAATGGCAAAAAAAAAAAATCTTCATCCCAATCCTTTAGCTAAAATATTCAGTGGGTTTACAAGATCGAAGTGGATTCTTTTGAAAGCTGTCCTCATCTGGTGTTAAAGTGGCACTTCATTTCAGAAAAAAGGTGCATTATATTGACAGTTTAACATGGTCTTGGACTTAGCTTCCTAAGGAACATGGATACATCTTTGACAGAGCAATTATCTCCTTTTCTCAAAAAATCCAGAAAAATACTTTTTTGTATGCTCTACATTGTATCCCTTGTTTTATCACAGAAAAATCTGAATGAAAGGAATTCAAGTCTAAAATAAGGCAAATGCAAAGTGTTACAGGCTTTGACATGGGACTGTATAGGGAATATCCTTTATTAAAGTTGTATTTTAAGTAATTAGCATCTGTAAAGACTGGTTTCTGTAGTTTCACTAGAATGTCTCATGCTGTGAATATACAATAAGTAGGAGTGTTTGACTTAAATTCATACACCTAAACTTTTTTGTGTCGATTAATCATTGACTAATAACATTACATAAATAAGGAAGGAAGGAAGGAAGGAAGGAAGGGGTAAAGTTTATTGATTGGATTTCTGGCTAGAGAATTATAATGCATCTCACTCATACCACCACTGCTATATTTTACACTACATTAAAAACTTTGCATTACACTCTGTGATGATAAAAGAATTGAATGTAGTGCATTGGCAATGGAAACTATTTCCAGCACACTTTCTATGCACTGCTCTTTACCTAATCTAAAGGCTATATGAAGTTTGGAGAAACCCAGTGTGCTCTGCACACGACACTCATCTGGTGACCTTGCTCTGTTGATTATGTTGAATACCACTTACTGGATGCCACAAATGATACTGTATTGTTGTGATGCCACAAACATTGGGCAGTGAAATATTTAGTTGAGTTCAAATGTCATGACTGGACATACTGCAAAGGTTCAGTTCTATTACACCACCAAGCTGGAATTCACCAATATTAATGGAAAACAACATGCATGGTCTAAACATTAGTTTTCATCTTACAATAACTAACTTAACTATTTGGTGTTCTGTTACGTACAAGCTAACAGGTTGAAAAAGTTGATAATATTCACACCAGATTTAGACAAAATCCCTTTAAAGATGTCGAATTGCTGCTTCTTGAAGCAGCATCACTATAATTGTGAGAGATTTCATTCTTGTGTATATTCCCAGTTTATGGATTTTATAAGGAGAAAGCTGCTAGTTGCTCAGCTTCATGTGAAGCTTGTTGACAGAAGTTTTGGGTCAAACAGACCTACAGAATGGAGGAATGCAACGGGTGTTGTTTATACGTACTGTTTATACAGAATGAGAGCAGCAGTCACAATGCACATCTTTAGAAGGGACTTCCTGTCACATTACTCACATTCCCAGAGGTAAAACATTATCTCTGCTGTCACTATTTGTTCCCTGAACTGAAATGTGTGTGTGGACTTGCCGGCGTTTCTTCTCCTCATTTTTTGTTTCCATCTTTTTCATCATGCTGGCTGTATGTATCTCGGCCGAGCAGCACCATAAATTCTTACATAACTGAGCTGCTGTGTAAGTGTGTTGGTTGTTTTCAATACTTTTGGGGGGTGTATGGAAAGCTAATATGCTCAGTAATCCTATAAGACCCTGGGTTACCTATGCATTACTTATTTGCATTGGTTTTGCACTTGTAAAACAAGCAAGAAGAGCGGTTTAATTTAACACTTCATGAAAACCATCTTTTAAATGCATGCTGCAGTTTTTTTTATCACTTAGTAGCAATAAAAAAATAAAATAAAAAAACTCCGAACTTTTAAGGGTAATTATCTCCCAGGTGGTTCTGGAAAGCATGTGATTAATGACCAAAACAGCTTTCCATAAACACCGGCTATTTGTACACATTTGTATGTGTTCTGTATGTTCAGATACTTCCCTTTAAAACTAGATCTAAAGACTTGATGCTTCTGTTTTGTGCCCATTTGTTAAACATAAGGCCGGTTAAAGCTTTAGACGTTATGTAAGCATAGTTTGTCACGTCAGAGAAGGAACATTCCTCCTAGACAACAACTTCCTGGACACTAATTGAATTTGCAGTTGTGCATTTTTTTGTGCGTGAAAGAATGCTTCCATACTTACACAGGGGTCATCTGTGTGTCTTACCATTACCATACAATGTCCCTATGATGGACTGAGCATCCTTTCACCAACTTTGGCTCACTTTACATTTAAAAGTTCCAGGTACGATCTTTTAGAGAGGAAGATAAATGGAAATCTGACAACTACTGGTTGGGGAAAAAAAATGTTAATTTACATTTAAGAGGGATATGAGAGAAAAACTGTTCACACTTGCTTTTTTTTAAACTAACCAGATTTCCACAAACCAGCTAGTTGAATATTTCAAGCTTTAAATCTTTTATAAACAACCTTTCCATGAATATACAGGTAAATCTGGTCTGGCAGTAGGATTTGGATGGTGTGTTAGCACAGTACAATTCCATCCAGAAAAAAAAGCAGCGTATGATTTATTCCTAAATGAGCTCTTATCATCGCTGCTGTAAATCACCTGTAATAAATAACACCCTTTGCTACACAAATACTAAACAATCCTAAAAAAACACCCGATCAGACACAACCCCAAAACGTCTGAATTTGAACGTCTGAATCCGAATATTGAGTTTGAGGAGGTTTAATACAGTATCATTTTAAGGCTCTGAACAATTATCAATTATCATAATTGCTGATTTGGTTTCAGATTTATATTTATATTAATTTGCATGTCATGTGTTAAAACTGTATTGTAATCAGTTCACACGGTTTCATTTTCAATCAAAAAAAAAGATCAATGTCAAAATGGTTTGTACACTTTCGACAAACTCTGAAACAAACCAAAATTCATGGAACAGATAAAAATCTGTTGCCTTTTTTCAGATCAGTTAGGGCTCAAAAAATCTATTAATTCATTCCCATTCATTAACCAGTCAGTCAAGCATGCAGCAAACAGTTGCTGCCTTCTTTCCCCACAGAATGCCTTCAGACGACTGCCTGAGCGCTAAAACTGCACAAGCACTTACAACACTGTATGTAGACGTAGCTGTCTGATACAGCCTGCAGAGACACATGCTCAAACTCTGGCCATCCTTTCCATGGCCAGAGGTGTATGCAACACAGCACCTTGGTTGTGTGCTTCCACAAGCATGAAAAAATGATTCATTCCCAGTGAATCAAGGTGTGGAACCTTGTTACCCAAATTTCCTGCCAGCACTTGACTCTAGAAGATAGAACGCATCTTCTCTAAACTGGTTAAATGGGACAATCCAGTGGGCAAAAATGGATTTGATAGTTCCCAGTACTTGGCCAAAGAGATTATGGTGTGGAGATGTTTTTCAGTAGGTTACCTCAGGCCATAACCTTGTGCTGCGAGCTTGATTGTCACGAGATCTGAGTTTTCAGTCTTACAACAAATCCATCTTAAAAGACTTCAGCTAATACGTCCATCTCGTAACAACCAGCGAGTCGGACCAATGACACGTCAGCAGTGTTTTTTGGGGAGGGACATGCAGGAATGATGACAGTCAGAAGGGCCTTGCTGGGGCATTAAAAACATGGCTATGCTGGAGGACACACCCATTTCTTTTTTAATTAGAGGGTTGACGATATTCTAAAAAACTTGTGTTGCTTAAAATGATTATGTGCTGGTTTGTCTTCCAAATTGTGCAAAAATCATTGCACCATGACATGATGACTTCACCGTAAACATCCAACGATGGTATACATTGCAGGTGTCGCAGTGGTTAGCATGCACAACCGATGGAGGCCTTAGTCCTCAACGCTGCTGACCCTGATTTGAATCTTGCCTGTGGTCCTTTGCCGCATGCCCCCCGCCTCTCTGATACCCCCTTTCCTGTCAGTCTGCTGTCGCAAAAACGAGCTACTAGTGCCGTTGGAAAAAAAACAAAACACATCCCACCTGTTATTCCTTGCACACATCTGAAATGTCACGATTCGCTGCTACAATTGGAATTTGAAAGCGTGTTATAGAAGGCAGGTACTCGCTGGCATGTCACCTAATCAGCTCGAAGTATTGTACTAAACGTCTCTCCTTTTCACGGACAGACTGAATGGCAGCAATCCCAGATTGATAACGTAGAACTCGACTCAGTTCTGCACATATCAATATTGCTACTGCTGGTTACCTGAGTCCTTCAATGAAAGGAACTGTTAAAGTTTCAATCTACCAAAACATTTAGGAGAAAATAATCCTTTTATCGTCATGGGAACAGTGAGGTGGTGGTTCCCTCCTGTTCCATCATCGCACATACAGTGACATAAGCCCCATATACACTACCCTTTTGAAACCGTGCTGAGAGCGGTCCGAGCATGGTAACATGACAACTGTTGAGTGTTAATGGAAGCGGACCGTGCCAGAAACAACCGAACAGCGCTAAATCTAGTACTAGTTCAGGGCACGGTTCATTTGTCGCCGGGTTCTCTGATAACCAAAGAGCGCATGACCAGGCCACGTCATCTATTGGTGGTAATGCACATCAGTAAGTTGCTCTCTAAGCGCCACAAAACAGAAGAAGAACTGTAAACAACAATTGAAATCTTCTCAGCACTACATTTTTAAAAATGGCTTCAAAGAGCTTGGTGCGACCAAAGGCTGCCTTCTTCGCCTGACTGTCCGCAAACAAAAAAATATCACAATTATAACCAAACACAACTTCCTGAATGTTACGGCCACTGCTGCTTTGATTTGCTTGATTCCCTCCTTCAATCCAAGGGAGCAGTAGTACCGTAGATCGTCACTAGGAGGCGAGGAACCGTGCTAGCCTGATGTTTTAAATAGTCGTAAAGTACCAAGCTCGGCATGGTTAACTGATCCAAGCTCCGTCCAAACTCAGCACGGATTGGTTTCAGAGGGGTAGTGCAAATGGGGCAATAGATTTGGGAGTTTGAATAGAATAACTTGACTGGTTTGCACAGGTTCCTGATCGCAAAAACTAAACCGTTTGAATATAAAAGAACACTTGAGCCAAGATTGTTTTTCAGCATCTGACCTCACAAATATTCTTCGAGAAGAATCTTCAAACTCTTAAAGGTACAAATTGTGTGCAGACATAATATAAAACCCTATGGAATATAGTTCATATTTGTGTGAGGGCAAATATGGCAGTTTTTTTTAGAATCTGAACAGTGGGTGAAGCAGAGTGGGGGATGTGAGAAAGTGAAGGAGCAGGACAAGCTGATAAGGTGGGGGTGGACAGAGTCTGGCATGACCTGGGGCACACGTGTTCCCTTTCAAACCACGCCACGCTCATTCCTCCTCAAACGCACATATATGTCTATGCGTAATTGCACTCAGTTTGTTTATAGCACACACACACACATGCACAGAGCGATTAGAAATGAGAGCAAAGGAAAAGTGGAGACGGAAGAAGAAAGGCAGATATGTAGAGGAGCTGCAGAGAAAATGCTGTTGCAGATGAGGGGGTTGGGGCCTAGATTGAGATGATTTTGTTTAATATGTAAAAAAATGTTTCTACAGACTATATTAAACTTGTAGAGAATCATGAGTGATGAATAAAGGTAGAGTTTCTATGTGCGGAATAAGAAAAACAGATTTGTTCTTGCAATTTTATTTCTGGTCACCAGTAACCCTTCTTTTATAGTCTGGATAAACAAAAGCCAGGATTTGCTCCTGTAGTCAGGGTGCATCATAAATGTATGCAAGAAACCCTAAATGTAGCCACTCACACACACACACACACACACACACACACCACCTCCATCACTCACTCCCCCTTCTACAAACCGGGAGGGGGAGGGGCAACACATGTACACAACAAATACAACCCTTAATACATAAACCCTCTGCTCTAACCCCCCCAAGCCCACATTTTTTCAATTCTGTTGAAAACACCAACAAATCTCTTTCCCACCTGAGCTCTTTGTTACATTATAAATCCAGACCTTACCATGGAAGGCAGCGGGTCATGTAATATTTACACCTCTGCATATGAATCACAGCACTTATTTAAATACTTTTCATATCGGCTGCTCATTAAAACCCCATCCGCACACTGGCTCTCCACGTTTCCATCACAAAGGTGTCTTTGTAGATCCTTGATTTTTTTTTTTTTTTATTACCCAAGGCAACGTGCATGGCTAAACATGACTGTGAAGGCTAGACGTATTTACTGCCAGGATCTGACGCTTTAAATTCATTTCTCAGAGAAGAAGAGGGTAGTTTATGATTAGTCAAGCCTCCTGCAGACAGACAAGCACCATGATAGACTGTTTTGAACCAAAGTAGAGAAGATCCCCCTTATTTCAGCAGAAATATTCCATGCTCAGCTTGTAATATGTTGACATACATGTATGCATGGTGTTTTCTCTGTTTTACAGGAATTATAAGTGGGTCTGGTTCTTGTGACAGGCAGACAGATCTCCCTCACACCCCCAATTCACTCTCCTTTTCTTACAATGTACCTTTCTCCTAACAGATGGACCCAGGAAAAATACTGGGATGCCCCTAATCTGCTGCTCCACATACACAAAAGCCTAAAACTGTCAAAGTCTTAATCTGTTTTGATGGAATACAACCGCTCAAAGCAGTTTTTTAACCTTGACAATCGCAGGATTGGAGAATTTTTTTAGTGAAAAAATGTAAAGCTAAAATGTACGCATCATGGAAAGTGAAGCTATCAAATCCTCATCATTCGATTACTGTGTAGCCTGTGTCATTTTTTATTTATTTATAAGGTCAGTACATCTCTGCAGCGCAAGTGCAATAACCCAAGTCAACTCCTTTGTAGTCTTCACTTGGCTCTCTACTGTGCAGATACTTTTATATCTAAGGGAAACATATTCCAGGACATTACAATTTTTTTATTTTCTTATGCTTTTTTGTACTATATACACTCTTTTTATATTGTCTGTAGTATTTTTTATCTTTAATGGCATCTTGCTTTAACCCTTTTTACTCTATTTAAGCTACTAGAAACAGAATTTCCCTGAAGGAGTAATTCCAAGGGTTGAATAAATATGAGTCTAAGTCTATATTAAAATATAGAATGGAATTTGGAAAGTGACTTTATCTTAGCATGTAAAATAATTATTTATTTGTACTGCCTAACTATAGCTTTTTACTACATGATGCAGTGAGTTTATGCAGAGAGTTATCCCTGCTGGACCATTCATTATTGTGTCCATCAGTTATGATCCAACATCCATCAATGTTGGAAAATTACAGAAAATACTGTTACAGACAAAGTTCTAACATAACTATTACTCAAAATATTTCCTGGACAGCTACCTGGGCTGCTGTGCTAAAATGAGTGTGAAACTGGAAAAGGAGGGTTTTCTTTCTGTTGCTCCTATTATATATGAAGTTATTCATACCCCAGAAGGATTTAAGTATAAAATTACTTCTTACTCTACCAAAAGTTTTGCTTCTAATAAGAAATTATACATACATTTCTCCAAAGACAATAAGCTAATAATGGAGTTAAGTATTACATAAATCGAACTCTTCTTTTATATATATAATTTATGACTGAGTTTTAGCAACAAGTATTTTATTTTGAAGACTTTCTTGCCATCCACCTAATCCTATAGCTTCCTCCTCTGATTCTAAATCAGATTCTGACAAAAATCAGCAAATGTAAGCATCAGCAATGAAAGATCAAGATGCATTTTCTAAGTAATAGATGTACCATAAAACACAGTAACAAAGTGCAAAAGCATGGAAACCACTCTAAAATGGATAAAAGGACAAGGCTGCAAAGCGGCTGACAGTTTAAAGGGGATTAGCAATTCCCCATAAACTAAATCGATAATAAAACTGTTTCTTAAAATGTGTAGATGTGTATAATGTGTATAAAATAGCCCATAATTTTAAATGGTAAGTCAAAATAAAAGATAAATATATAAATACTGCACATCAACAAAAATAAAAACAGCAAACTAACAATGAGGCATGGTGGTGGAGGAATCATAATGATTTAACCTTCTTTATGGTTAGGATCAGTTCTTAATGCCTATCACTGCTGGAAAAAATAAATAAATAAAAATTCAAGCTTCAATCCCTAAAGCAAAACTCCACATAAAAACAACGAATGAGTTAAACAGAGGAAGATTAAAGTAATTGCAGTGAACAAGACAAGCAATGAAATGTTCCACATATTTGGAGTGTTTATTTTTGTGCACTTTGTTTTTCTCTAGGTTTGACATAAAAAAATGTTCACCTTACTTTATTTTTGTCAAACTAAGCAAAGGGAGGGAAGGTTCCACCCCTTTTAACCGGTTAAAAGATAAGTCAGTTTGCAGCTTCCAAGTTTTGCTTTATTGGATGAAGATAAAGATTTTACTTACATGGTTTCCACAATGTAAAGTTGTTCCTTTATTAAGAGGTCAACTTCCTTCCAAATGCACGATTGTGATCGCAGTGAGAAGGTGCGTGTGTTTGCATAATATACATGCTTTTACATTACTAAGGCTGCAGAGCCATGGGAAGGGACTGAGAAATCTGAAGCGATTCAAGTGCGCGCGAAACCTGATCTGTATATGAGATCAACATATAATCATCGCTATCATTAGTCTTACAATATTAATGTTCTGAAAAATACATAAATAAATCCTACTTACGATTTTAATGGATTATGAATGACAGCCGCCATCTTCTCTCCTGCAAGACTGAAATGTAATATTCCAAACCTATGTGCAGTTCGGGACCCTTATGAAAAAACAAAACAAAAAAAACAAAAAAAAGAGAGAGAGAAATACAACAGCCAATGCTGTTCTGTCGACAGTGCTGTGCACCAATGCAACCCCAGCATGAAGACATTGGGCGTGGCTTCACAGAAGTATGTCAACAGACCCCACACGGGACTCATCCCTTTAAATAAAGTTGATTTATCTCCATCTGTGCGGACACAATATCTTATAAAAGAGAGAAATCAACATTGTGAGCTATACTTCATTGTTTATTCCAATGCATTCAGTGGTTCTGCCAGAGCAAAAAGCAATAATTTAGGGATAGTGCCTATGTTTGATATTACTCTCAATACAATATAACACAAATACAATTAATTACCTTGGAATACATAAGCTGAATTTAAACAGTGAAGATTAAAAACCCAATGCAAACATATGGGCCTTAAAGTAAAAACTATAAAAACTCGTTTTGCTCCAAAAACATCCTAAAGAGGTTTCTATATAACTGATTTGGAAGTGTGGTTAAGAATGCATGATCAATGGTCAGACTTTTTCACATTAGAAGGTTTTCTTAGACTAAAAAACAGATCAAATAATAATAATAAAATCAGAGACATTGAATCAAGTTTGGTTCTCTGATCGTTTCAAATAGAATTTCCCAAATACGCCTTTTTTTTTTCTTATTTGTATTTGATAAAAAAAAAATGTCGACTATCAAATGATAAATCTGCAAAGCGTCTAATTTTATTACTCTTGAATCGACGTTTCTTCCTGACAGATTTCTCTATTGTTCAATTTAAGGCAACAAACGCAACAGACAAAATAACCAATGAGTGTCTGAAACGTCAGCACCTCTTTGTGAGAAATTAGCCAATGAGCGAGAGGCGGAGACCTGATGTTGCATTGACTTACTTCTCGGTCATTGGAGTTATTCACAAAACAGAAGTAGAAGCGAAAGCCAGGAAAGAGTAATACAGTTATTTTCTTTTATTTCACTATTAATTTCCATTTCTTTGAAGATTATTACAGCAGTTTTCTGGAGATCATTATAGCAAACGTAAGCGTTATTTAAATATTTGGAAAAAATTCCGCGATTTCCCTGCTACATTAAACGCCTCATCACTATTTGCCTCCGAGTTCAATCGAATTAACTTAATGTAAACTTAGCACACTAACACAAACAGGCTTGTTTTTCTTAAACTGTATTAGAATATATTTTAAGGCTTTATGTTAAACATCTTGGGGCCTTAAAACTCAAATTAAACGACTCTCCTGAGAACTGAAGCTAACTTTGCTAAGCTAACAGGTAAACACACTGTTCGTCACCCAGAAGTGAAACATGGTCAACGTGGAATGATCTGAATGGAGTCGAATAAAAAGAAGAAATGGAAATGGCGACAGGATCGTGGTTACAGACGGTACAGAGCGAACCGAAGCAGATCATCAAGCAACGAGCAGTGGTAGTCATGTCAACGAACACAATATATGGCTGAAAAACACGTTTTTATTGCTACATATGGCCTCTAGAATTGGCTCTGATTGCAGTCTCCCATTGACAGGCATGGCTATAATGATGCTGGGCCTTCTCACAGATTATCTCAGATGGAAAACGATAACCAACCTGCCTCAGCTTCATCATCCCCAGCCTCTTCTTCCTCTTCCAAATCTAACAGTGGAGTACCAGGTATTATGATTACACCCTATATCTGCACATCAGCAATAGATCCACAAGCAAATGGCACCAGGATTGTAATAGACAGACATTATATTTAATTAGAACACCATAGCTTCATCAAATAATTTCAGTAAATACATTCTAAAAGTAAAAGTCATATTTAAAAGACTTAATAACCCTCAGGTGTTTATTTAATTTCATTTATATAACTATAGATTTACATAAATCTATATTTAGAACACATAAATCTCCTAAAATTCAGATAATTATACTATTAAGTATTGCAGGCTAATTTGGGACCCTCTGTGCAACTTAAAAGTATCTAAATGCTTCCTGAGCCTTTAAAGGGCCTTCAAGCTGGGTTCAGTTGGCTGGAAACTGCTGGCAGAGATTCTAAAAAAAAAGTATTTCTGAAGAAGTTTTTTCACAGATTACAATAGGCCCTTGGGGGGCGCTTTCCTGCAGGTTTTAGAGGTTGTCCTGCTTCAGTACATCTGATTCTGACGATTGCAGTTCAGCTAAAGTACAGTACAGTACAGCAGCCCTCAAGGACTGACTTTAGGCATGCATGAATTTCGCAGGGGTCTCAAACTGGTTCCAGAAAGGGCTGTGTGGCTGCAGGTTTTCTTTCAAACCAAGCAATAGCACACCAGACTTCATTCATCTCATCAAGTAATCATGTTAAGACTGGACTTACTTGATGAGATGACTGCAGCAAAGCAATACGGATCAGCATAATTGAGGGGATAAGAGTTAAGTGCAGGTTGGTGGAGAACAAAAAGATCAGCAGGGGAGTCATTGGATGAGTTCCTCTAAAAGTTTCTGGAAAAAGAGATTCTAGAAAACATAAGTGATGCAAAAGTAAAAGAAGTTAAAAGGTTAAAAGTTACAAGAAATGGAGAAAGGTGTAACAGCTTATCTGGGTTGATTAAATTTGAAGAAGAGCAGTTAGCCAGCAAAGTTTTAATTGGCTACATGAGCTACAATGTAAAAATTTACAATCATCCACCTTTGAGATGCTTCAAATGGCAAAAAATTTTGGCATATAGCAGCAGTATGCAAAGGAAAACAGCGATGTGGAAGGTGTGCTGAAGAGCATGAATATGGAAAATGGGGGAAAGAAGCTAAAATCAAATGCTGTAACTGTGGGGGAGAATATACTACTGCATATCGCAGGTTGGAAGTGAGTTAAAGGTCTGAGGAAATAAAAAAAAAAAATAAAATTAAATTTGAGCTCAGAATAACAAATGCTGAAGCTGCAAAAAGGATCACATCCCAGTCAGAAAGACCCAAACCAACCGTATAGCACACGGCAAATTCAAAACCTCTGGAACAGCGTCCTAAAATTGAAGATTCATTGATTGTAAAGAAGAAAGATTTTGTTCTTTTCATGGTTGAAGTGATCAATTGTAGTGCTCAGAAAAAATGAAAAAATCTAAATAATAGTGAAAGCTGCAGAAAAGTATATTAAAGTTAAAGATTTGAACTGCGAAATGGTGGAAAGTATGATGGGAAAACCAGTAGGACCATCAGAAACTGGCAGAGTGACAATAATCTAAAGATAAATTAGAAATTATTAGAGCAAATATGATTTAGTATTTATTATGCTGGGTTCAGTTTTTCTTTTTTTTTTTTTTTTTCTGGGGGTGAGTCGTTTCCTGTTTCCTTGCTTAACTCATTTATCAGTTGGTGGCGGTAATGCACTTTTAACTAGTTTCCAACCGCTATAAAACCTCACTAGAAGAAGAAGAAGAGATGACTGCAGTCTGGTGTGCTTTTCCTTGGTTGGAAAGAAAACCTGCAGCCACACGGCCTTTTCTGGAACCAGTTTGAGACGCCTGGATTACAGCATCCTAACATGTTGATGGAAAATCAAACTGAAGGGAAAAAGTATGGTGGACGAACAAGCAAAAACAAAAAAAATCACCTATTTAGGTAGTCTTTAGGCTCTCATTGATGCTATTGACAAAATGACTAGAGGCACCTTATAGAATATTTCACTTGGCTTTGATGTTTTAGTCATAAGCTATGTTGGTGGTTTAAAAAAAAAAATCTTCTTTGTTTCTTTTCTGTAAGAGCTACCTGGTTTCTACTTTGACCCTGTCAAGAACCGCTACTTTCGGCTGCTTCCTGGACACAACAACTGCAACCCGCTGACCAGAGAACAGCTGCAAGAAAAGGAAAGGGAGAAACAGAGGCAAAAGAGACTGGCAGAAGATGAAAACCCAAGAAAAGTGAGTCTGTTGTGTGGGAAAAATCTACAACCTACGAGTAACTTGTATTTGCAAATTCAATATCGCAATATTAACAGACTTTTTGGGATCCTCTGTCCACACTTACATCTATATTTCACAGAAAACCCCAAGAACTGGGCTGAACATCTCCTTGTTGCTGCAGAAAAGGCATCTTGGACTTTTACCTGTGAACTCCTATTGCAGGTAACCAGATCACTACTGCTTTCTTGGCCACTAATACAGCTGTCAAATTCTAAACGGCCTTAAAAGAAACAAAAAGATTCAAATATATATTAAAAAGTGATCAGAATTCAAACCCTAGAGAAGATTTTATAGTTTTCATGGCAGAACGCAGTGTTAATCTAGCTTTACTTTGGTAACCAGGCGTGTCCATGAGGTGAAGGTTTGTGGAATGAGACGCCACAAACTGGAGATCCAGAGCACAGACAACAGCGACCCAAACACTGACAACTTCAGGATCATAGTGGTGAGAACACTTCAAACACCCCTAGAAATGATGACGAATATATGCTGCGATATAAAAATATTTTTAATACGGTTCAAGCCCTTGCTTCTCTTCAGTCCTATTCCAGTTCCAGTTGTCCAGGAAAATGTTACTAACTACTTACTGCATTTCCTCACCTAAGGGGATGGTCTCACATATGCCTAACTTAAAAGTCATGTTTTCCTGTCTTTACCATGGTGATCAGTATGTAAATAGGCCTTTGTGTCTTATTTTTACCCAAGGGGAGCCGAAAATAAGAAATAAGGACATTAGACATTGTTAATATAAATGCTGCTACAGCTATGAGAATTTAAAATGTAATGGTGATGGAAGGTGTCAATACTAGAGATAGACCAATATTTCGGCTGGAAGATATTTTTTAACTGACAATAGCACTTTTTTACTGTATCAGCTGATTCATCAGCGCATTTAACAGCCATGCCTTGAGATCAAGTGAAGCGCTTCCATTACCGCTTCCACCATCTTAGACTATCACTTGGACTTTAACAACTTTTATTGTATTTTTTTCATACATAACAAAATTTCGATGCATACAGCTTTTCAGCAGTGAATGAGCAGCATCACAGTTAAATTGACATTTCCATTTATAAAGTGCAGCAGTGATCAGAATGTAAACAGTATAGGAGAAAAGGAAAACCAGTTTAAAGTCACGGAGCAAAAGGCACTGATATGGAAAGCTGCAGAGCAAATAAATAAATATGGTGCAAAATGCAGCAGAACTTTGAGTTGTGATCTATTTAAAGGGATTATGAAAAAATCAGCCACGTTGGTGGTAAAAATATGATGTTTTCGAGTGTGATGCAGAGGCTTGATTAGAGTTTCAACATTTTAACAGTCTGATGGCAGCGGGGGAAAAGCTGTTGCAGAACCTGCTGTTTTTTTGTTTTTGTTCATTTTTTTCTATTGTAACTTGTGTGACATTTGCTGTAATTGTGTCATTTTTATCACTGGAATTGAGAAATTAGAGCTGCACTCTATATACAGTTTGTGTTTTCTAGAAAATAATGATTTGCAGGAGTGTGTGTGTTTGTGATGTTTACTAGTTTAGCATATGTTAAATGGATATGCCTTTGCTCTTGTCATGCTTAAAAACCTGCTGTGCCCCATGGGGTGAATTGGGATGATAGAAAACAAGAAAAAGTGAAAAATCTAAGGTTTGATAAGAATTAATTTCGCCATTGCAGTTTTTAGCAAAAATATTGAATGATTTGTGTTCCTGGGATGTTCAGTCCTGGACCAAGTAAGTGAAAGTAAAAAAAACAACAACTTTCTATCTACCTTTCTATCTTTCTCAGGGTGATTCTGTGTCTGAACGAGTGTTCACCGTCAATGACGTCTCACACGGCGGCTGCAAATACGGCATCATGAATTTTAGCAGCGGCAGCCGGGGCTCTCTGTCCGTGGAAATGTGCGATAACCTCTACTTCACCAATCGAAAGGTAAAAGGATGCTCCAAAGAAACACTCTAAACTGTCTGATTCTACTGTTAAAAGATTCATTTATCAGTTTTCTGCTCCTAAACTTTCTTAACAGAATATCACTGAATATCTGCTGGATATCCACTAAGTCTGCTGTGGTTGAATGTTTTTCAGGTGAATTCCATCTGTTGGGCTTCTGTGAACTACCCTGACTCTCATGTTCTGTATCCTTCAGCTTCCTGGTTTTATGATGTGATTATTCTGCATTCAAATCAAAGAACAAAATATGATTTTAAGGCATAACGACATCAGGCAGTATGGCAGAAACATTTTTAACAACACGTTTCATTTTTCCTTAACTGAGAGGTGACCGCTAGCTTGTGTCTGGTGGGAGCGGCCGACACGCCGGGCTGTGTTAGTTTACTTCCTGCTTCACTCTTCAGCAACTCTAATCAAGGTTTGTTAGATGCGTTTCTCAAAACTCTACTGAAATGATTTAACCAGGCGGTAAAATTTGCCAGATTTTTCTCATGTGGGGATTAATTTGTGGCTTTAAACTGAAATGAGCTTTTTATTTATATATTCTGTTCTGCTCATGCTTAAATCCATACTTAACTTCAAAGATGGATTATGACCTTTCTTTTCTTCTGGCTTTTATTTCCCAGATCAGCCAGGGATGTTGTGTAGCTTCAAGATATCTACAGCCTGGTCCTGCGCTTGGTGCCTTAACCCACAGTTTGATAAGACCTTCAGCACTGGTCTGTTCAAAAGTCACTATTTTCCCACTAGCAGCAGAAATAATCAGCTTACTGTTGAAACTGTGTAGGGTTAAAAATGGTTTAGTTCAAAGGTTAGCTAGGTGATAGGACTCTTTCTAGAGAAGTCTGTCACTCATCCAACAAAAAGTAGAATGAAGTTGTGAGAATGATATCAAATGACCCATAGTTTATCACCATTTCTTTTCTCATAAAAAAAGCTCTAATATTTGCAGCCTTAACCAGCTTTTCTTCCAGGATTACCCTTCAGTTTGATCCATCAATTTCCCAAACTCATTTCTGACCAGCTTCCTTTTCTCTCCTGGGAAAATCAAACACACAAAAAAAAGATCCCCATAGCATGACGCTGCCTCCACTTTGTTTGGTTAAGACATGCTTTGTGGTTTTTTATTTTTTCCCTTACATCTCATCTGACCCAACCACCAGCTTTAAACTTTAACCAGCACTGCGTGTGAAATGAACAAGTCTTGGCTGTGGATCTCTACAGCTCCTCCAGAGTGACCATGAGCCTGAGCCAATCCCTGGTTTTGTCTTCCAAATCCTGCTTGTTCATTAATGCTCTCTGACCAGCCTCTGAACCTTCACAGCAAACCTGATCTTTAGACTAAGTTTAAATAGCACACAGTTTTAGGGTGACCTTTGAACAGTGTTGGCATCTGAATTTTATTTAGCAGAATCAAAGTAAAGAGAGTTATAAACAAATGTCGAGCCGTTGTTTAATTTTCCTTCCACTTAACAATTATACACCAGGTTGTGTTGCAGTTTGACATAAATCCCTGTGGAATACACTATCTTCTATCATAACTCAACATGTATTAGCCCAGGGGTATAACTACATATGAAACCATCTGTGACTATTTATGCGCATGTGCGCGTTTGCAGGTCTGTCTCGACGGGTCATTCTCAAGGATGCAGAGACGGGACGAACACAGACGTACGGTGTGGGCACTGATGTCTTAGCGCAGCATTTTGCTCACAGGGTAGGAGTTTTTGTCTAATACTGCATATCTTAGCTTCTTATAAATAGTTTTTTGTCTCCCGTCCTCATGCAAGAACAACCCAAGCAGCAGTAAATGGATTCTTCTTTTTCAAACCAGGTTCCAGTCCTGTTCAATGGTTGCAGATCTGGGGAGATTTTCAGCATAGACCTCCGGCAGCGTGGCCGCAGGGATCACAGCTGGAAGGCCAAACGCTTCCACCATGAATCGGCCATCACCTCTGTACGCGTCCTGCAGGATGAGAACTACCTCATGGCTGCAGACATGTTGGGTCAGGTCAGAGCAGTTCTTACAAATTTTTTTTTTTCTAATAAAAAGCAGGATTTTAATTTTTAGCGTTTGGATTCTCTCTGCAGATTAAGATGTGGGATGTACGGGTTACCAAGCCAGTGCTGGAGTACAAAGGGCATTACAACGAGCACGCCTACCTCCCAATTCATGTCAATGAACATGAAGGCCTTCTGTTAGCAGGTAGCTGAAAATAATATATTGCTGGTTTTAGAATATCAATCAACAAAGTAAACTAGTCAAATGATTGAATTCATATTCACACAGTGGGCCAAGACTGTTATACCAGGTTGTGGAGTCTGAAGGATGGTCACCTGTTGAGGACCATCCCATCCCCTCATCCAGCGGCAAACGACATGATCCCGAGCGTCGTCTTCTCCTCTAATTTGGGCGGCAGCAGAGGACTCCCTGGTCTGCTCATGGCGGTTAAACATGACCTGTACTACTTCCCATACAACACTGATTACCAGGATGAAGGGCAGCCGTCACTTTAAATCAGATGAAAATCTTTCCGCCCGACTGAAAACTGAATGTAGTTCTGGGACGAAACTACAACGACCGCAGCCGTCCTGTTTCTGGAGCAGAGCTTGGTTTAGGTGGATTATATGCAAAACTCTCAAACGGACACTAAAGAGAACTGGTGCAGCCTACCTTCGACTGGAGCACCCAACAGGCAGTGTAAAGTCAGAACTTCCAAAAATGAGAATTCTTTTTTCTGACAGGTTCTCTTTAAAACAGAGGATTTTCCCCTTAACCTTTCTACAAACATCTCACATCTTTATTTGGAGTTTTAGGAGATTAACCAACACAGAGTGGGGTATGAATGAAGTGGAAGGATGCCTGGTTATAATTTTTATTAAATCAAATATAAACCTGAAAGGTGGGCTGCATGTCTTTTGCACAATAGCTCAAGTTCATTATTAGTTGGAAGGAGACAATCTGTGAGCATCAGTGTCTGAATTCTGGATTTAGACTTTGACTGCCATTTTTTAGATCTAAACCGCTTGTACCATTTTCAGGTTTGTTGTCCTGTTAATTCAACCTTTTACAGCCTCTAACATTTTTTGTACTAGTTGGTTTCTCAACACATAGTACTTTGGACATAGAAGAAAAAAAATAGTTTTGTCTAATCTGACCATAGCTACTTTTATAGGGATTATTTTTAACAGCAAACCAATTTTGAAGTAATTCCTACAAAAAGGCTATATTTATTGAGTAGACAATGAAATAGGTTTTCTGT